TTCAGAGCCCCCCGGGGGCCGCGGGCGAGGGCCCGGGCGACGCGGACGACGAGGGCCCAGTGAGACGCCAAGGGAAGGTCACCGTCAAGTACGACCGCAAGGAGCTGCGGAAGCGTCTCAACCTGGAGGAGTGGATCCTGGAACAGCTCACTCGCCTCTACGACTGCCAGGTATGTTTCCCCTCCCCGCGCGGCACCCTAAAGTCGGTCCTGAGCCGTCCTGCCCGGGAGTCCCGCAGCCCGCCCGCCTGTCATCGGAGTCAGAGGGCGCCCCTCTTGGGCGCGCAGCGCTCTCCGCACCAGACCTCCGCCCCCTATGTGCTCTTTCTTATCCGGCCTAAGTCTCTCAGACCCAACCTCCCTCATGCCACTCCCCAGGTCAAGCGAGGTGCCCTCCAAGAAGCCTTGAGGGATAGCCCGGCCTTGGCAGGGGGACAGGGCTAGTCAGGGTGGCGGTGGAAGGTGGTGTAACCTGCCTGGAGCTAGCTACCTTGGACCTCTGTTAAATGCACTGGTGGGGGTACTGTGGAGCGTCTCGATTGTTTTAGTGGGCTAGCCTGGAACTCCATCTTGGTATGTGGGCAGGTTAGCCCGATCTCTCTGGGCTCTGGTTCTCCACCCCATGACTCCCCGTTTGCTCAGATGGTGACTCAGGCCCCAGGGGGCAGGGTGGAGGAGTGGGCTTGCCTGGTGCTGCTTACCCTCGCCTAGCCCTGGAACGCAGCTGGCTCCAAACAGGGTAGTAGCTTCCTGGGGAGGAGGGGTGGTGGGCGTCCCCTTCCTCCCCCAAAGCATAGGCTCTTTGTTTCCCCTTTACCAGGCATGGATCCTTCCCCCTGACCCCTCACCCTTCACTTCCTCCTCACTCCCAGGAAGCTGTGACAGGTGTTTGGGGGAGGGGAGGGGGCTGTGATGAACTGGGACAGCTGGCCCCCACCAGTGCTCTTAGTGAGATGGAGGCCCGGATGCTGGGGAGACACATCTGCTGGGTTCCCAGTCCAAGGTCTCCAGCCCTGGCTGTCTGGCCTTGTCTGGCACCCCGGGTGCCCACTGGCAGGGACAGGAAGCTCCCCCCACATCGGGCAGTTTGCCTTGGCACCAGCCTGATCTGTTTTCCTTCTCAAGAGCAGCTGCCGTCGTCTGCTGGGCAGAGGGCTGGTCTGATCCTGAGAGAGGCAGGAACTGAAACCTGCCAGCCCCTCTCACACCTTCCCTCCCAACTCTCCCTTGTCTCTTCCTACCCTCACTCCCACCCCAGGAGGAGGAGATCCCAGAGCTGGAGATTGATGTGGATGAGCTCCTGGACATGGAAAGTGACGATACCCGGGCTGCCAGGGTCAAAGTGAGAGAGGGTTAGGGGATGGGTGGGGGCAGTGGGTGGGGTGCTACCAGGAGGCACTGTCCTTTGGGGAAGCAAGGCACTGAAACCAGGCTGCCTTTGGACTGGTTCTGCCAGCTCTGAGACTTTGGGCCTCAATTTCTGCCTCTGGAAACTGGGGCTGATGGTCCTTGCCTAGCAATGACATCTCCTAAGCCACAGGTGACCCCCAGTCCCTTGGAAGTGGTATAGGTGAGCTCTAGGTGTGGATCCCTGGGAACTCACTGTGTGTTTACCCCTCCCCGCAGGAGCTGCTGGTTGACTGTTACAAACCCACTGAGGTAAGTGGTTTCTCCAAAAGGTAGGGTGAGGGAAGCCTGGGCTTCTATCAGCTTGGGAGCTGGTCTTCCTAATGTCCCCTTCCTATATAGGCCTTCATCTCTGGCCTGCTGGACAAGATCCGGGGCATGCAGAAGCTGAGCACACCCCAGAAGAAGTAAGGGTCCCTGACCCAGGTGAACGGTGGCTCCCACAGGACAATCGCTGCCCCTCAGACCTCGTAGCAACAGCAATAACGGGGGACCCTGCAGCCAGGCCTGGTGCCATGAGCAGGGCTCCCTGTGCCCCTGGCCTACGGGTCTTTTCCCTTGCCCCCTCAGTTTTCCATTTTTGGGGTTTTTTTATTGTTATTAAACTGATGGGACTTTTTGTGTTTTTATATTGATTCTGCGGCACGGGCCCTTTAATAAAGCTAGGACATGCCTTTGGAGCAGTTAATCACAGGCTTGGCTGGTCTTTTAGGGTCTTTTAGGCTTCCCTACAACCACTGCCAGCTCAGCTTCTTCCCAGGTGACCGCAGGCCTTTGAGGGCGACGTAGCCATGGCGATAGCCCAGAGCTGGCTCCCAGACAGGCGCTGGAAGTGGCTGGGGAGCAGTGTCACAGGCAGCCCTCAGTACTTTTTATCCTCTCTGGACAAGGGTCACCGTGCCCATAAGCCCAGACCCTGAAACTCTGTAGTCAGAGGGGAGGCTGGAGCTGTGGTTTGGGGGGGTGGGGTGGGGGTAGGGTGTTGGGGATCATATTCAAGGCCTTGTATATGCTAAGCAAGCACTCTAGCCACTGAGTTATACCCCATTCCCTGAAGCTGTGGTCTTAACCTAAGTCTCTCAGGGCCCAGAAAGAAACACATGTTCACTCCTTGGACTTTTAAGATTTTTCTGTTTTGTTTTTTAAACAGTCTGGTCCCTCATAGGGTCCCCCCCCCACCCCTCTGAAGCTGGCTACAGTTCTGACCGGCGCTCAATCTTGAGCAGCTCCACCTCGAACACTAGGGTTGCACCACCTGGAGGGAGATGTGGGGTCAGACTGGAACCTGGGCTCCAGCAGGAGGCGTGGGGATGCAAGAAAAGGTATTACCTGGGATCTTTGGGGGAGCTCCTCGCTCTCCATATCCTGTGAAAAATGCACAAAGAAACAAAGTGAAGCCAGGGGTGGTAGTGCACGCCTATAATCCTAGCACTCAGGAGGCTGAGGTAGGAGGATTGCCTGGAGTTCGAGCCCAGCCAGAACTATATAGTGAGACCTTGTCTCAAAAAGTCAGAGAAGGAAAGTAAGGGGAGGATGATCTTTCAGCTTCAAGAGGACCAGAGTGGAGGGCGGGACAAATGGGAGGGGATGGCAAAGGTCTGGTGGGACAGCTGTAGGACAGGTACCACAACTGCGTGCCCCAAGTCTTGCCCTGTTCCTGCTGCTAGACAGCCAGCCTTTGGAGAGGCACTACAGTGAATGGATAGCGTGGAGTCCGATGAGGCTGAAGCCACCTTCACCCTTCATTCCACATACCCTGAACCCCCATCCCCCAGGAAGGATCTCTCACCCAGCTCAGATGGGATCACCAGCTTCCGCTTTTCCCCTTCACACATCCTGCAGGACAATATATGCTTAGCATGTGGCAACACCCAGGCTTCCAGTTCCCCCAGCTCCAGCTTAACTCCCAGCTCACCTCCTGGACCAGGACCATGCACACCCTGGCCCACTCCCAGACTCACCCCAGCAGCCCCTGGTCCCAGCCCTTGATGACCTGGCCTGTGCCAAGAGAGAAGACAAAGGGCTGGTTCTGGGGCAGGCTGCTGTCAAACTCTGTCCCATCTTCCAGTTTTCCCTGTGGGACAACAAGACCAATGAGGATGAGAAACCATTCCTGACACTCCTCATTCATCTGTTCTCCCCAACAAGCAGATCTTCACAGCACTGGTGGTCATATCCCTTGTAAGGGACAGAGCCTTGGATAGTTCAGAGTACACTGTCATACGTGCTGGCACCCACCCTGGGAAGCAGACAGTGGGAAACACTGAAAACCAGCTTAGAAGCAAAAGAAGAGTTCCCCTTCATCACCCTCCTGGTTGGGGGGACAAACCAGGTTCCCAAATCCTTTCTGGTCTCCATAAGCCCCACCCACCACAGAAACTCCACCCCCCTCACCCACCGTGTAGTGCATGTGCAAGACGTCTCCCTTGCGCGATTTGATAGGACAGTGGTCCACCCGCTTCTTGACCCCGATCTGCAGCTTCCGTTTGCCCTCGGGCCCTGTGGCCGTGGCCAGGGCACTCAGGCAGATGGACAATACTGTCAGGACCCAGCTCAGCCTCATGTCTCTGTGGGCACAGACCCCGACCAACCGACCGGGAGGAGGGTGGGGAGGGCATGGAACACGAGCAGGACCCTGGAAGTCTGAACCCCCACCATACCTTGCCTGCCCAAGGGTTCCCCTCGTCCCAGGTCACCACCCTCTCCCCCGGACTCCACGGCCACACTTACCAGTCCAGTGAGAAGGGGGCTTGGCTGAGGACCCCAGCAGCGAGGGGAGGGGGTCAGGGGAGGCCACAGCAGCCAGGGCCCCGCCCCTCTGCTCACCCCCCGACCTTCCCCCCCTCTTGGTCTCCACCTCTGCTCTTCAGTTCCCACCCGTCCCCTTACGCAACGTCCAGACCCTATCTGGCTGCACAACAGTTGCTCCAACTGGGCGGCCCCACTCACGCCACACCCAGCTGCCCCCTGTCCAGCATACCCACAGTTCTGCGGTTGCTGCAGGGGGTCGACCCCGAGGCACCCATACATCCCCGGTGGGAGGTTCCGGGGAGCCTCGTTCTTCCGGAGGTACCCCCCAGCCCGGACCCGTGTCTCCGCACGGGGCGCCGCCCCAGCTCTGGGCCCTCGGGGGCCGTCGGGGCACCCAGACTGGGCCTGTGTCGGCTGGCCGCCGAGCCCGCTCCACCCACACCACCTCTCCGGGGGGAGTCCTCGGCCTACCGCGTCCCCAGGCACGGCCACCGCGGAGACCGCCCCCGCGCGGACGTCCCGGGGCATTACTCAGGTTTAGCCCTTCGCTAGGCTCCTTGGTCCCGCCCCCTAGAGAATGAAGCTCCGCCCCCTGGTCCACAGCCCCGCCCTCGGCAGAACTAGATCCCTCTTCCTGAACTGCAGCCGGACCACTCACCGGATGAAGCCCCGCCCCTAATGCGTGGGTTCCACCGCCCTCTGTCTCCAAACACAAGGCTCCGCCCGCCACCAGTTCCCGCTCCTCCTCCAAGTGCCAGGCCCCACCTCCCAGCAGCCCTGGCCCCGCCCCCAACTGCCGAGCTCCTCCTTCCACCCGCAGCTGCTCGGAGGTCCCACCAGCCTTGGTCCCACGTCCCGCCCCGACTCCCAGGGCTCCGCCCCGTACAGCGTGAGAACCCTCCCCCTGCGACATCTCTGGACAGCTCCGACCCCACTCCGGTCTCCTTCCACCGATACCCCGTCGGCACCCAGAGCACCGGCCCGCTCCTACCCGGCCTGAGCCAGCCTGCCCTCCTGCACCCCGGCTGCCCCCCAGCCCGGGCTGTGGCCCCCCGCTCACCTCCTCGCCGCGCCCCCGGAGTCAACCCCGCTCGTGCTGCCGCCTCTGCGCAAGCGCGTTCCCTTCGCCGCCGGCCGGGCCACGCCGCCCTTGCTCATTGGACCTTGCGAAACCCGCTGCAGCGCGGCTTAGTCCCTGGCACCACCTCCATATCGGACGTCACCTCCGCCGGAACTGTACTCTGCGGGGTTTAGAGAAAGTGACTTCTGAAAGGGCCAAAGGCACTTCCGGCCAAGGTGACATTCCGGTCAACCAGGCGCGAATCCCAGAGGGGGTCTTGAGCGCCATCTTATGTCACCCCAGCATCTCGCATAGCCATCCTGCCCGCCTCAGGCTCCATTAGCTGCTGTGGAAACAGCTGGGTTTACATTACAGGTCTGTCACCAGTTGGCTGTGCGACCTTGACCGTATTCCTTTGCGTCTGGTAAACATGCTTGGTGACACCCACCCTACACGTCCCTGTGAGGCCGAGCCAAAGTGTAGTTTCAGGACCTTACCTGGAGTGGGAGGCCCTTCCCTCCTGAACCCCAACACCTGGTCAACCCCTGCCTGGTGCAAGCATGGTCAGGTCTGTAACGGTCAGGCTGAGCCCCGTCCTATACCACTTATTTCCATGTGCCTCAGTATCCACCAGTGCCCAATACTTTGTCCATTAACTGATTTCTTTTTTTGTTTGTTTTTTGTTTTTTCCCCGGTACCGGGAATCGAACTCATGACCTTGAGCTTGCCAGGCAGGCGCTGTCCATTAACTGATGTAACAAACTTGTAGTTGAGAGACAGCCACGTAGAGTGCTAGGGAGACAACCTGAGGCAACGCCCCAGACAAGTTTGCTTTTCGGAGCCAATTTCCTCAGTTTAAATGATCATAAATGGAGGATAATCATAACTTGAACCTCGGACCTCAGAACTGAGGGTAAACAGGAGATGCATGGGAAGCTTTGTGCAAGTTAGCCTGGGAGTTAAGTGGGTGCAGAGGTGTTAGCTGTAGGTCCCTATGACCATTAAAGCTGAGAAAATGATTTAAAAGTACTGGTCAGTATCACCCATTGCCTCTTACATTCCTGGCTTGGGCCTACCAGGATCACAACCACATCCACAAAACTAGTACCTCAGGGAAACCTCCCTTAGGGTTGCTGTTTCGGGTTCTGTTCCTGGTTGTGACTTAGCAGAGCAAAGCACTGGTCCCCAAAGCTGGCCCCCAGCACTAGGGGATGAGCTTTGGTCGGACAACTCAGGAATCTCAAGCAGCATCAGGAGAACAAGCCTAGAGTGGCAGGAAGGAGAAGACTGTAGGTTGGGGAGACAGTAGATTGTCTCCTACATCAAATGCACTAGCCACAGACCTCTGGTACTTCCCTTTAAGGTAGGGAGGAGTGAGTGGGGCAGAAGGTGTGTTTTAGAGCCCTGCTACAGGGAGAAAAAAGCAGCAGACACTAAAAGTCCTGCCCAGCAGGGAAAATGGGAGTCTTTTCTACTATGTGAAGACAGACTCAAACTTGTCTGGAGCACAGCGACCCTGACCCAGCAATCATTTCTTCTCTCCATATGCATATATTGAAACTCAGGCTCAGAAAAGGGTTGCCAGGAATGGTAGCACCTTCGTGTAATGCCAGCTGCTTGGAAGGCTGAGGCAGAAAGACCACAGGTTTAAGTCCAGCTTGGCTAACTTAGCATGACTCTGTCTCAAAATAAAAAGGCAGAGTGCTTGCCTAGGATGCACAAGGCCCTGGGTTTAATCCCAGCAGAGTGCTCACTTCAGCAGCACATATACTATAAAAAAAACTCAGCACTGAAAAATGAATGAATAAATAAATAAAAATTTAAAAGGCTAGAGAGGTAGCCTGACGGTAGAGCACCCCTAGATTCAATCCCCAGTATCACACACAAAAAAAAGTTTTTTTAAAAGAACTGGGTGTGTCGGACTGGGGATTTAGTTCAGGGGCATAGCACCTGCCTGGCAAGCACAAGGTCATGAGTTCGATTCCCAGTACCAGAAGGAAAAAACAAAAAAACAAAAAAACAAAAAAAACTGGGTGTGGTATTGTACACCTATAATCCCAGCACTCAGGAGGTGCAGGCAGGAGAATCTCCCTAAGTTCAAGGCCAGCCTGGGATACATAATGAGTTCAACACCAGTTTGAACTACATAGTGAATCTCTGTCTCAAAACAAACAAGCAGGGCCAGGTGTGGTGGCCCAGGCCTGTAATCCCAGTACTCCAGAGGCTGAGGCAGGAGGATCGTTGTGAGTTCAAGGCCAGCCTGGACTGCAAAGTGAACTCAAGGCCAGCCTGAACTGCATAGTGAGACCCTGTCTCAAGAAAACATGCAAAAGGCAGTAAGAACCAAGGTCATTCAGCAGATTGAGGTCCCACCACAAGTTCATTGGCCACAGGCTGAACCCTTGTGATAAACAGGGTGCAAGGATTCATATGCCCAACAACCCTACCAGGGAAGTGGTGAATCCATGATCCAGGCTCTGCCTGGGACCTGCTAGGGGACCTTAGTCCTCACTTCCTCCATCAGCACAGTGAGTAGGTAAGACAAGCTTCAGGTCTAGGAGGCAGTGATGTAAACCAGCCAGCCTGGATAGTGACAAACAGTGACACAGGCAGGGACAGCTCCTTCTATCTTTTTTATCAAGGTTGGGGAAATCACAGTTTCCATACCAAAGCCCAAATCCTATTATTTGCAGAGGTGGGGAGTCTTCTCAGGGGAGGAGAGGCAGGAGCCAGGTGTAAAATGCTCATCTCATGTGCACAGGGTAGCACACAACGCCCCCCTCCCCAGCTGGGACATGACCCCTCATGCTGCCCCCACATCTCATCAACTCTGTCAGAAAGCAGCATCGGGAGACAGCAGGAGAATCCTCTGAGAGGCCCAGGTCCTGAAGCAGCTTCCACTAGGACCAAGGTTTTGGGTTGGGCTGTTCTCAGGTTCTCCTTTCTTCTCCCATGGGGTATGATGTATGAGGCAAGTGGCCCCACAGTCTGAAAAGCAATGTGTCACCTTCGCAGCTTCCGGCACCTGCAGGGGGAGGAAGAGATCTGTTCTTGCTGGCCGAGCTCAGCCGCAGCACCTGTTGATACATTCCTATTAACGTCTGCCAACCTGTCTCTCCTGTCGCTCCCAGAAGCCCCCTGGCCTGGCTCACATGACATCACTGCATGGCCTCACTGAGGAGCACAGGGGTGTTGAGAAGCACTGCGGACAAAGGTGCCTAAAGGTTCCAACACATCCCTTGGTCTGTGGGGAGCCAAGTGGGGCAATGTCTGTCACAGGGGCTCCTGAGAAGGCCCAATGCTCGGCAAATATCCATTCTAGGTAGATGTCCTCCCCTCGAAATGGCTGACCACTGAGAGATGATGTGAGGTGCCCCCGCCACAGTCCTTGGCATCCTCCACCAGTATCACCTCTTCTGTGTCTGATTCACCCATTCAGATGTGGGCGGCTTTTATAGTCCACCGAGCCCCGTACCAGCAGACACTTGCTAAATGTTTATTCCATACATTCAGCAGCTTCCCTTTCCTGGCCCTCCTCCCACTGGTGGGCTCACCCTGGACCTGCTCCAGGACACAGCTTCAATGGCTTCCCTGATAAGTGCTGCCACCCCCACCCCCAGCCTGCTCACCTGCAGGTGTCTGGGTTGAGCTCTAAGCCCCGCCCTTGGCAACGGAGGAAGCTGCGGCGTCGGCAGCGGCAGCGGCAGGTCCAGGGGTCAGGGCGCTGGCAGCGCTGGCTGCAACGTGGGCAGAGGGGCCTGGGGCTGGAGTGGGATGGGTGATGTCAGCTGGGGAGGGTGCTCCGGGGGCAGGGTCCCAGCCCAGAACAGAGCGGGGCTGGGGGCGGTGATGGGGAATGGCAGCCCTAGGAGGAGAAGCAACATGTATGGGGAAGGAAGAATCTTCCCAGCAGTTGAGGACCGGCCGGGGGTGCACGGATCTGGGGATCAGAGGACGAGAGGGGGAAGACAGGTGGAGGGAAACACTGGGGAGGAACCAAAGTTTGTGACTCATTTATGTACCCCCTGGCCTACCCACACATCATATCCTGCCTGGGTGCTGGGCCTAGGCTCCAAACCCACCTCTGGAGTAGCCTCAGGGACTCACCTGTCCAGCTTCATAGCACTCTCTCTTTTTTTTGGTCTGAAAAGTAAAAACGACAAACACAAAAAGAAAAAGATCAGGAAAGCCAAGCATCCTGCTCTCTGGCCCCAGATCCCAGGCCTACCTCAGGATCCACTCTTAGACACCTGGTCCCCACTGTGGGGCACTGCCACACCCGACATCCCCCCCACGCCTGGACTCTGCAAGCTCAGAAGCTGGTCCTGGCTGGCACCTGCATTCACATTGGCTGTGTTCTTCCAGGGACATCTCCCCCAGCTGACTGCTTGGGTACCGGATCATGAGGATCTGTGCTCGGGAGAAGAACATGGAGAGACAGTGACGGGGCTGTGGGCTGGAGAGAGAATGACTCCTCCAATAGCCAGGACCCTGGTGGCCAGCCTCCAGCTTCCTGTGTGCTGCTCTTTGAGCTGGCCTGGCCCCCAGAGCACCACTGTCCACCCAGCCTGTTTGCCCCACTGGCCCAGGTACCTGCATTCGGACTTGGTGCTGTCCAGTGGGCACGCATTCCAGGCCGTCGTCAGGGCAGCAGCCACCGCAACGTTGCACAGTCACGCAGCTGGGCACCAGTTGTTTGGCCACAGTACCCATGAGCTCCATAGTCAAGGGCACCACCACCTCCCGAGGCTGGCAGGTGGCACGTGAATACACATCTATCCATGATACCACTGTGGGCAGACCCATAAGGGTTAAGTCCCCACTGGGTTTCCTGCAGCTACTCCCAGAACCTGTCCTCCCAGTCCTCCTGTGATGGCCACCCTCTACTATTCCCTCTTCTACCCTCCTAACCGGTCTTTCCCAGGCCTGTTTGTCAAGAACCCAGCAACCCCTCTGCCCCAACTTCTTCCTCTATGAAATGTGCAGAAAGAATAATAGTCTTCGTCTTACAGGAGAATCATGCTTATGCAAGATGAGACATTCTGAGGCTGGAATCAGGGCATGGGGCAGACCCACTTAGTACTGGCTGATGCCACATTACTGTAACTATTACCTTTCTTCTGATGGCCAGGGGCATCATTCTGGGAGACTGGGGCCTGTGGAGAGAAGAGACCTGGACCCCAGGTGCACTCTAGGAGGAGGTGGCCCCATGACTACCCCCAGGGCTCTGCCTTGGAATCTGGAGGCTTCACCTCCTCTAACATCTTTCGATTGCTCTGTACCCAGGGCCTCAGCACTAGCTTTACCTGTTGTCTCCTGGCCCAAGGATCTGCCCTCCCAAGACCCGCCATGCACACTCTGCCAGCTGTGTCAAATCTCCAACCCTCAGGGCTGGGCTTGCAGCGGGGGCCTCGGGTCAGGTCAAGAGAGGGCCCAGTGGGCAGGAATCAGGTCCTGCGGGACAAAGAGGCAGCTCCGCCCCCGACGGTGCCCAAGGGAAGAGGTGGGGCGGGGGAGTGGCCCAGGGTTGCGCGAGAGGGCCAGCTCTGAGGGGCACCTCCCCGGGGATGCCCGGGCCCCCGCGGTGTCCAAGCTGGAGGCCAAGGCCGCTGGGCGCCTCCTCACTTCCGCCAACCTTGAGAGGGCACGGCGGGGTGGGCGGGCCGTCGGGGCCGCGCGTACCTGGGCGGGGGCCAGTTGCAGGAGCGCGGCAAGCAGCAGGCGGCGGAGCAGGGGGCGCATGGTGCCCATGGGGGCTGCGCGCCAGGGGCGCCCGCATTGCCCT